GGGGGGGGGGGGGGGGGGGGGGGGGGGGGGGGGGGGGGGGGGGGGGGGGGGGAGAACGAGGGAGAGACAGCGGGGGGACGAGCTTGGATGGGCGGTTGAGAATTTCATACAAAGTGGCGTAGCACTTGTAGAATTTTCAACACCAACTGCAAACGTTGGTAGAGGGGGAGAGCGAGGGGGAGATTAACTGGGATGGTAGGCAAACGCGTGTATGTAGCAAGTTTGGTGTTTTTCAATGCTAACTGAGCATCATTGTCGTGGGGTTGTACAAAATTGTGAAGCTCATGGAGCGAACCTCTTCTCAAGGTACAGGTGTGTTTGACTCAGATCGCTTGAAAGATTGGATGTGAAGCAACACACCGAGCACATTTCCATGCACGACACGAAACACGATACATGTAAGTTGCTGGTTACCGCACTTATCCAACCAGTCCCTCCCCCCCCGCGCCAATAAAATAGGTAGGCTGGGGCATGTTTGAGCCACCGTTGGCGAAGGTTGGAAGGAACGCTTGGCCATCGGTGATCGGGTCTGAAGGAACAATGCTTTGTCCTCTCGAGAGGACGCGTGGTCAATTGTCTAACAACCTAGGCGTGCAAAACATGATTCCGCCCCCCCCCTCATACCCATCGACACCTTCCCAAAACCTGCTCGCCATTCACAGGCTATAGCTGCCACAAGCTCCACTTCGTCCCTACACCGGAGGATGACGCCCGCGAGGACAACATGCATGACTGTTTCGGACGAGAGCGATCGGGTGCGTTCTTTTAGGTTGTTGTTGTTGCCTAAATCATTCGTATTTTTTTCCGCCCCTCTCGAGGGNGCAAGGCGCAGGAGAACTTTGGACAAATTGGGGAAGATGTCCAGAGGTTCAGTAGGAAGGGAGAAGTTGTCATGGTGGGCGATTTCAACTCCAGAGTAGGGAAAGCTTCCAGTAGAGGACAGGCGATCGGGCAGCACGGAGAAGACAAAGTGAATGACAACGGAGTGAGGATGCTTGAATTCTTGGGAAGCAACGAGCTGGTGGTGTTGGACGTGAGGAGGGAATACGATAAGC